TTGTTTTGTTTTTTTGTCTTCCATCATCCCAGGATGCCTCCGCTGAGTGAGCACGCCACATGCTTCCCACCGTAACACTTCCATTATCTCAGCAGTGTCCCAGCATTTATCAGATATGTCTCACAGTGAGGCTGTAAATGCTGCTGTTTCCTGAAATCAGCTGGAAATGTTCACACTTGAAACACATCATACTGATATATTAACTGAACTGGTCAACGACAAATCGGGTCATCAGACACTGGGCCCCCTGGGATGCAGACATATAAAAGGCCCCCTTACCTTCCTACATAGACGCAAAATCCACAATTTGAAAACGTTCTGTCTCTGTTAGTAACTTTGCACCAATATTTTGTTGTTTTGCCTATTTTTGGCCATTTTGTGTCTTGTTTTAATAATTTTACATCTACATTTAGTTGTGGCCATTGTGCATCTCTTTGTAGGTCTACTTGTTTTCCAACCCGAAATCAAAAAAGTTGGGACGTTGCATTTCAGGGTTAGTATTGAAATGAAGAAAAGGACCGCCCAGACTGTTAGCAGCAACAAGTCCAAAAGCCAGGGTCTGTCATGGTCTGGATGTTGTGTCGGTGCCCGTGGAAAAGGGAACTTAACGTCTCTGAAGGCTCCATTAATGCCAAAAAACAGAGAGATGTTGGAGCAACACATGCTGCCTTCAAGACGATGTCTTTTCCAGGGACGTCCATGCATATTTCAACAAGACAATACAAAACCTCATAATGGACATTACCAAGGCCTGGCTGTGGAGGAAAAGGGTGTGAGTGCTGGACCAACCTGTCTGCAGTCCTGACCTGTCCTCAACGAAGACCCAGGACTGTTGGGCACCTTAAAACTTGTTTGCAGGAAGAATGGGACAAAATGACACCTGACACACTGAATCACTTGGTGTCCTCAGTCCCTAAACGTCTTTTAAGTGTTGTGAAAAGGAACGGCAGCGTAACACCGTGATCAACACTTTACTGTCCCAACCTTCTTGGGAATGTGTTGCAGCATCAGGACTGAAGTGAGTGTTTATTCTGAACAAAGAATGAAACTGATGAGGTGTCACATCAAATAATGTGCTGCTGGATTGTTTTCAATGTAACACAGGACACAGATAATTTACACATCACTGTTTTCAGTGATGCGGGGGTGTACAACTGTTTGATTGTTTTTATTTTTCTTTTTAGTTATTTTACTTCTCTTTGTGATTCTATTTGTTTTTGTCCTTAATGTTGTTTTGCATGTCCTTGGGCTTGTTTTGCATCTCTCTGTGGGTGTGTTGTAAATGTTTTTGCTCATTTTGCATCTATTCATTGTTCACTGACTTTCCAACAAGAAATGTTAACGATTACTTCATACCAGAGGACCCCTGATCACCTGGACCCTGGGCCTGTGCCTGGTAGGCCTGTTCATTAATCCATCCATGGCTACAAACTGGGATTCAGTGTCTTACCCTCCTCTACCATCTGATCTGTAGCCATGTTTAGTGGCTTTAAATTAGGGATAATAAGGGTTAAGACTGTTTAAAAACAGGCTGTCCTTCCCTCTCCTTCACCTGCACACCAACACTGAATCAGTGTGTTTTCAGGCGTTAAATATAGAAAATAGTCATAAACAGAAAATGGACTTCACATTGCCAAACACTGTGTAATGGAGACGCAGTGGATTAATCTCAGGTATCAGTGAACACCTGAGCACCTGCGAGGAGCCCTGCATCACTGCGCTGATTAATGAACAACTGCAATGCAGATCCATCCGCCGCCGCTCAGCACAGTTCATTTATCCAAAAAGAGAGGAGGCAATTTTGTAATCACTTCATTCATCAAAGACAGCGTCCAGAAGGAGGGACGCTGCTTTGTCCCCAGAGAACACGAGGAACGAACCGAAAGGAAACAGATGGAAACAGACAGACGGAAGAAAAGAAAACATGAAGTGTGCCTTGGTGCATTTAACCCTCCAAAGCTTAGCGAAAAGCTAAAACAGATGGATTATGTGTTCGTTTCTATTCAATCAAATTTAACAGAGCTGCCGTTCAATAGTAACAGCGTCGACTGATAACAAGCCAACGCTACAAGGTCCTTTTTTCAATCTCCACTTTAGATTTTTGATGAAGTAAAAAGTTCGGTTTTTGCTAAAGTTTTCCAAACCTCACTTTACCCTGTGATGGGAACAGGGAGTCTTATTGTATTTCCAGATTCTTCCTAGATGCCGCTCATCCAAAGTCATTCATTTTGGCCTTACAGCTGTGGAACTTTTTATTTAAATGAAAGTGAAATTACAAAAATTGCATCAAAGAACAGACAGCTAAGGTCTGATGAGCTACTAAAGAGAAAAATTTCCTTTATTCTTATCTTTTTTTATTTGTTCTTTGTATTATTTTTCATTTCACTTTTCTTTATTTCATTTTCATGTTACCATCCTGTACTTATTATTTTTTTCATCTTTACATTTCCTTGGTGTCTGCTTTCCTCTGTTTTCTGCAGAAACAAAACAAAAATTGCTGTTTTCTCTTAATTATGACTTAGAATCTGGTAATTATAAGATACAGATTTCATTATTACAAAATAGCCTTCATAGTATCTCAATTACCAGATATCTTAAGGGTCCTTTAAAACAAGTAACAATCACAATGTCTTATAATTACAGCACAAACACCTCCTGATTAAAAGAGAAAACTCTCATCTCCTAAAGATCTAATTATGTGACAAATACTGGATAAATTGTTAGAACACCTACTACCACTGAACAAGCTCCCACCACTATGCGGGCAATTCAATAAGAAACACCTGGTTTGCCCTGCACTGGTCCGTTCGCTGCTTGGGGCATGTGACCCGCCGCACGACTAAATTAAACTACTGTTACTGTTACACATGCATACGCACATACACATATTCCATACATCATTATTTCTGTCCTTCTGTCTTTTTCATTTCATCAGTATGTGTGTATAGCACACTATAACATATTGTAAACACATTCATCTGTGCATTGTGTCTGTACATGTGATTATGCCATTCTGTAACTATCCCGCTCAGAGTGAGACCTCCACACAGGAAGCCCGAGCATCGAGATGCGAGAGGACAAATAAGAACCGACTGCGGTCTGATTCTTCCTCTTGGCTCGGTGGTTGGAGCTCTGCTGGTGCATTTTAGAGGCAGAACATCAAAAATAAAAGCGAGCCTCAGATACAAACTGACACAAATACCAGCCTGCTGCTTTCACCAGCAGAGTAAAGGTCACTGAGATCCACACAGGGCTGCCGCTGAAGTCTGAGTTTTATTTAAGCCTTTCTGAACTCTGATTGCACTTTAGCTTCGAACACAGACTTTGAAAAATGTCTGAGAAGCTGGCTTGTACCTTGAATTTATTTATTTATTTATGTATTTATTTTTACAATTGTTTAAAGTAAAATAGAACTATACAAAGAGGCATCCATGGTACTATGTTAAAATAAGACTTCACAAGAAGATGTGTTTTATGGCTTTCAATACTTTGACTCCTGCGCATTTAAGGGAAGTATTGTACTTTTACTGCATTACATTTATTAAAACACTACTTCATTTTCAGAGACAACAGAATATGTTTATTAAATCTAAGGGGCTTTTACTAATGAAACTGCAAAACAATATATGAAGCAGTTAAAACCAGCTACACCTCAGTCAACTACAACATTAAAATCCATCTTAAATTTTGTTGCAATGATTAGTTATCAATTTGTGGATTGATTGATTGAATATAATCAGCAATTTTTCAAACAAAGAATGCAAAATATTCCCACTTCCACTTTATAATTTGTAAGGATTTTATGTTTTTCCCTGTTTTACATCATTGTGAAATGAATATTTGGACCGTTTGAAGATGCACTATGATTGTGCATTGTTTACTAATAGAAAATTAATACAACCAAAATCATTTGCAGCCAGTAAAAGAGTAACATAACCCTAACATGAGCCGTTCTCTAAAATGAGTACTTTTACTTTTGATATTTTAAGTAAATCTTCTTGCTAAAACCTTCAGACTTTTGTTTGAGTCATTTTAATTGGCATTGCTACTTTTACATAAGTAAATGTCACTAATGCATCTTCCACCACTGGCTACACGTCCCATGATATGGGTGTTGGTTCCCCCTGAAAAGGTGCCTTGGGTTGAATTAAGTCATATTTTATGTGAGGTTTTTTTTTTTAAGTGAAGTGTTTTTCTGTTTTGGACAGAGTTTATTTTACCTGGGACTGCAACAGAAAACCGAAACTGACATAAATACCACCACGCGACTCTGTAAAGGTCAGACAGATGCAAATAAAGGCTAAAGTTTGCTCTGAATACTTTATAAAATACAACTTTTACAGTGAATAATCTTTCACATTTAGAGTACTGTAGGGAGGGCAACCCAGAGGTGAGTATCAAAATCCATTCTTCACTTTTTGTGTTACAAAGCAACAAATGCCAGCAAAAACATTACCCCCACCCTTGGCAGATGTAATACACAATAGGGGTGACAGTACAGTATGTTGACATTAGCCTGAAAGCTAGTGTTGATTTTGGTAATGATTTTCTAATTATTTTTTGAGTGTTGGTTGCTGTTTTAACCAAAACAAAATCAGGTTGTTAAGGAGGTATTCCAAAGTATGTGGCAAAGGTCACAGACCTAGCTTAGCCTAGCTTCGTATAATGACTGAAAAGGGAGAAAATTGCTAGCCTAAATCTGCCAATAGAAAAATCCACCTGTTGGATATTGTTACCAAACAAACCAGACACAAATCCACCAGTATTTAGCTGGGGGTAGTGAAGAGCAGAGGGTGGACAGCGCTTAAATCTGTTTTCTTATTCTGCTGATTAGGTGAAAAGGCAATCGGTAAATAATGTAAGAAAAAAAGAGTCTGAAGGAGAAGATATATAGACGAGAGAGCAGCAGGAGAGACTGCGGTTCTTTATACAGCTGTTTCAGTCTCTGAAAATCATCGGGAGAGCCTGTGTATTCCTGCAGAGCAGAGCGAGTCCCTCCAGCTGTTGTCATCATTGTCTCCAGATGGCAGAAAGAGAAAGACAAAAAGACTGCCGGTCAGGAAAAGCAATGCAAATCCAGGCTGTTCCCATCTGGGCTTCGTCTACCCCACAGTCCAGAAGAGATGGGGGGTATTTGGAATGGGAGGTTCCGGCATGAACCTCAACTTGGCTTCAAGCTGTGAACTGAGTCTCAGAAAATATCCCTCATACATACTTTTAATTTATGAATTATGAATTATATGCTGAGCTATAACTTCAGCCCATTTTTATCCTATAGTTGTTTATATTTGGGCTAGCTTTTGAAACTGTCCTTCTGACTCCGAAGCCCCGATGGCCTGCACAGTTTGAAAAATCCTGATCAAAGGGAAGATCCCAAATTATTTTTGTGAACCTTGTCAAACATCAAAATTGTAGAATGTGTTATTATTAACTGCAGGAAATTTATATTAAGAGAGGAGAGAAAGCACAGATTAGCGCTAAGAGAAGAGGAGTGATAAAAAAAGAATACTGGAATATGGTGGAAGAAGCACTTCAACAATACAGATGCCACCACATAAAATTCCATAATCGTCTCACGTGCCTCAACCCACTGTGGACATCCCAAGGTTTCTAAAATGTGATGAAAATAAATCTGAGATCATACTCTGGTCAAATTCTGACACCTACTGGTCCCCAGTGTCTCGTCAGAGGGCAGTGGCGTCTTACCGTTGACACAGGCCGGTCTGGCTCGTGTTGTCCCAGCGATCTGCCCCTTCCTGCAGGCACAGCGGGCTGTCTGTCGGGCGATGGTCCTCTTAGGCTGGCTGCTGTCCCGGTCCAGAGTGACAATCTCACAGGTCCCTGCAGCCAGCTGACCTGAGGGATGCAAGAAAGTACATCATGTGAATATGATGTTTTATATTCACTCACACATGGGCTTAGTTTGAGTGTGAACAAATGCCTACAGCACTTGTTAAACATACAGCAGCAGTCAAGGAGGCTGGTGCACAGTGTGATGAGCCGAAAACCTATGACACCAAGAACGGTGAATGACATATGGAGGTGTAGCTCACAGATGAAACTCACTGACTGCCCTGACACCATCTCTGTTTATCTTCACTGAGAGAGAATACAGGCTTCCCAACAGCCATGATGTGTGTGCAAGTCTGCAACCTCGACGACCTCACTGAAAACACCATTACAAATATCCTTCCAATAAAAGCTCCACAATGATCTCTGTAACCACCTATGCAGATCAATCATTAATCATATAAAATAACTAATACAAATATTATTTCTTAATTGTGACCGATGATAATTTTGTTATTGTTAACAATCTTCCTCCGGTAAGAAGAAAATAACCTTTTGATGCTTATCATTTTTATCAGTTTAAATAACAGATGGAAGAAGACATTTGTGACATTTTTATAACCTGAACATTAAACTGATTAATGCAGGTGATTTGCTTCATGATAATGAAAATCCTCACAGAGCTCAGCTGAGACAGAGACTGATGGAGGGATGAATGCTGGGCAAAACAGACTAGGCAGATTAAAGCCTCGGGGATTTGGGGGGTGGGGTGTATTTGGTCGTCGTGGTGACAGCAGAAGCCCCCCCGCATGCTAATGAGCTGTCATCAATAGGGCCATGGAGTGTGCCCCCTTCACAGAGGACTGGACCCACAGCAACCAGGACCAGAGTAGAGAAAAGAGAAGGATCAGTTCAGAGAGACAGAGGTCAGAGGGGTCGAGAGTGACACAACCAACAACAACAATAACAACAGCTCATTAAAGACGAGTCTTTCTAAGAAAATAATACAATGATTCAACATTATCCCTGATCCAGCAACAAGCTGTTTGTGTCTGAAAACTCCTTCTGACAGGGAAACACGTTCTTTTCCCTTGTCTGGAAAAATCTTAGCAAATGGGTGACAGGCTTCCTTAAAGCAGTGATGTGGATGCAGACTTTCCGGGGGCTGATGTGACCAGGGTGACGGTCACATGACTGCTGAAGGTTACTTTAACTTTAAAGAGGTAATCCTGGTGACTAATAAGACACATGCACACACTGAGATAAAGCTGTGTACACATGAACACACAAACATGTAAACAATGCACATTTGCACCTGACTTCACACTTTGCATTATTTGTTTAGTACACTTTTGTATTTTATTACTACTACTACTACTTTTTTGGTGTTATTTTATTATTTTTGCTGCAATCTTAAGGAGCTGAAGTCTAAACATTTTACTCTCATACAAAAAAAAATCATACTGTTTTGTGCTGTAATATATTTTTAACTGGGCATAAAAAGTCTTTTTTAAAAATGCACTTTTTATGCTGAAATGTAAGAGGAGACAGTCAACGCACACAGAGCTCTGTGAGAGAACACAGTTTTCCTGTTGACTCCAACTCCTTATCTTACAGTTTCAGAGCTCCTCTGAAAAGCCACTCTGTCCTTCAGCTGTTCCTTCCTTTTTTGTCATTTCTGCAGCTGTAGCTGTTTGAAGCTCTGGCTGTCAGGATGAAAAGCCTCAGCTGTCAGACTGAAACAAGTTGCAGCAGCAGCAGCACTCAGAAGCTGAGAGGGTTTGATGTGGCGAGCAGTGTTCACTGTCAGCAGTCTTTGTGAAACCTGACTGAAGACAGTGTTGTTGTTTCTATCGACTCAGAATGATCGGTGCTGTCCATCAGTACGATATCGCTCAGGAGGATTCATGTCTGTGTGATGAGGCGGGGGGAGGTTTTCTTTCCAAAACACACAAGCTCCTCAACTTCAACAGGAACACAAGATTCTTAAATCCAAGAATCTATACTTACAGAGCCTTCCTCCACATTTCATAGTCATCGTTTAGCAAATATGTCCAGTGTTTGTCTTCTCTCTCCTATAGGTCTGGGGTGGTGGAGCTGCAGTGAAACCTTCCCCACACCGTAGCTTAGCTCATCAACCACACATGTTAAATAATTGTTGCGGTCCCTGTTTCTTCGAGGCCAACCGATAGTCTCTCTCCATGGCCTCACCAAACTCTTCCCAGACCCGAGTTTTTGCCTCCGCAACCACCCGGGCTGCAGACTCGGCAGACCCAAACGTATTGTGAGGGTCTGTTGGGAACGTTTAGCAGAATCCCCTATCAGAGAGATCTTCAACTCCCGCCTCCGGCAGAGCTTTGACCAAATCCTGGGGGAGGTTGGAGATATTGAGTCCAAGTGGACAATATTCTCCGCCTCCATTGTTGATGCGGCCATTTGGAGCTGTGGCCGTATGGGCTCCGGTGCCTATCGTGGCAGCAATCCCCGAACCCGGTGGTGGACACCGGAAGTAAGGGATGCTGTCAAGCTGAAGGAGTCCTTTGAGCCTGACTGGCTCGTGGGACTCCTGAGGCAGCTGACGGCAGTGACGTGCGGTCAGGGGAGGCAGGTGAGGCAGAGCCTCCCCTGTCAATCTTGAAAAGAAAAAAAAAGTTAACCATAAAATATAATAAATGTT